TAGTCTTCCATGATTGCTCACACTCAAAGCATATTTTTAGAACAAATAGCATCCATCAAACATAGAGAAAGATAGTGTCTTAATGTTTCGCCTCCCAACTTATTTATCATATAGATAATTGTCAACAATAATAATTCATGATTAAATATATTTGAATGGCCATATATTCTTGGATCTTTCCCCACCACATGATACTTCCAACTAGAGAATAATTGAGGTTGAAATGAGAAGGAATACTACTGACTCTTGCATAAAAGTAAAAGATAGGCCCTTCGCAGAGGGAAGCAGGGATTTGCAAAGGTGCCAGAGCTCGAAGCTTTTAAAACAAAGATGAATATATTTTGAGAGGTATGCTTTCATTGTCAATGTAACGACTGAGAGTTCCCAATATCCTCCATGCTAGACACATTGTAGGCGGTTGCCAAACAAAAAGGTAAAGTTTTTACCCCCCCCTCCACCAACAAACACAAGCCATGGCGATCCGAATCCTCGGGTGCCCTCCATACCAACAACGATCCGGGGGAGTTTTGTTTCATTATTTTGATCATAGGACTGGGCATCCCAATCACCGGCCACTTTCTCGTGAATGACAAGAGAATAGACACTCATCGTGAGAATAACCGACCTAGCATGGAACATACTGACCGCCCCCTGTTGCTTCATGAGCTAGCTTACAAAACAGATTATTATTTGAAGATTTAGAGTTTGGCACATGCAAATTTACTTGGAACGGCCGATAAATACCGCATATAGGTAGGTATTATGGACTCATATGGAATAACTTTGGGTTTAAGGAAGTGGATGCACAAGCAATATTCCCGCTTAGTATAGGTGAAGGCTAGCAAAAGATCCTACGCAAGCACCACATGTTGGAGGATCCATAACAATATAACTTCTATACAAATATACCCAAACATAACTCATTACGTTGTCTTCGTTATCCAACTCCAACTAATTTGCTCAAGTTTGAAAATAATTAATGGGGTTCACAATCATAGAAGATGTGCAAAATAGTATATTTATATGTGGTATCTCTCTTCCTTCAATATTCTTTCGTGAATTGTTCAAGTGACAAATGTTGTGTTAGCTAACTTTCAATAAATTTTACCACCTATACTTCTTATATGTGAAGTCATTATTCCCCATGGGATAAGCATATGAAACATATATAATTTTAGATTCATGATATTCAATTCATTCAACCATTTACTCATCGGATATAAGTGAAGCATGAGAGTAAATGACAAACTACTCCAAAAAGATAAAGTGAAGATTAATGAGTAGTCAAATAATTAAGTAGCTATATGAAGACTCTCTCTCATTAAAAAAATATATCTAAGTATTTTATTAAAAATGGAAAGCTAAACAAAATATAATGATATTCCAAGGATAGCACATATCATGTGAAGAAGCAAAAACTTAGGCTCAACCAAAATTGATCGATCATTGTTGATGAAGAAAGGTGGGATGCCAACCGGGGCATCCCCTAGCTTAGATGCTTGAGACTTCTTGAAATATTAACTAGGGATGCCTTGGGCATCCCCAAGCTTGAGCTCTTGTGTCTCCTTAATTCCTCTCATATCACGGTTTTCCTAATTCTTAAAAAAACATCCACACAAAACTCAACAAGAACTCGTGAGATAAGTTAGTACAAATCAATGCAAAACCGTACCATTCTCTACTCGTGAGATACGTTAGTATAAATCAACACCTATGCATAGATTACCCCAATGTCACCTCGGGAATCCGTGAGTTGAGCGTCAAAACATACATCAAGTGAATCAATATAGTACTCCATTGTAACCATGAGTATCCATATGCAAGACATACATCAAGTGTTCACAAATCCAATATTCAGTCCAACATAACGGAACCTCAAAGAGCAAGACTCAATTCATCACAAGAAGGTAGAGAGGGAATAACACCATAAGATCTAAATATATTGACAAAGCTCGCGGTACATCAAGATCGTGTCAAATCAAGAACACGAGAGAGAAAGATCAAACACATAGCAACTAGTACATACCCTCAACCCCGAGGGTGAACTACTCCCTCTTCATCATGATGGCCGTCAGGATGATGAAGATGGCCTCCGGTGACGATTTCCCCCTCCGGTAGGGTACCGAAACGGGGTCCCGATTGGTTTTTCGTGGCTACAGAGGCTTGCGGTGGCGGAACTTCTCATCTAGGATTCTTTTCGAGGGTTTTGGTATTTATAAGAATTTTTGGCATCGGTCTCACATCAAGGGGGTGCCCGAGGGCCCACAAGCCAGGGGCTAGGGGGTGAGTGCGCCCCTAGTCTTGTGGCCTCCTCGGCCACTTCCTGGCCCAGCTCCGGTGTTTCGGGGGTCTCTTTTGGTCCATAAAAAATCACCGTAAATTTTTAGCCCATTTCGAGAACTTTTATTTTTGCACAAAGAACGACACCACGATAGTTCTGCTGAAAACAGCGTCAGTCTGAGTTAGTTCTAATCAAATCATACCAAAACCATATAAAATTGTTGTAAACATGACATGAATACTTGATAAATTATAGATACATTGGTGACGTATCACCATCCATCCACCTGCAGTTCCTCTGCACTCCCAACCGAGCCCTAGTGCCCCTAACAGCACCCCCAGGAAGATCACAACGCGAACAGCGCTGCTGCCGCCAGATCCGAAGAGGATTTAAGGTTTTCACTTGACCGGGTATCGGGGTGGGTAGATTGGGCCCTCAGCTGCGCCTTCATGAAGGAAAGAGGCGCCCATGGGCATCGCCACTGCCGGGCCGGCCAGACCGGCCAAGGTTTCCCCCGGACCCAAAGTACACCACCAATGCTCAGCATCACCGGAGCCTGCAGCCGCAAACCACCGGGAGGACGAGAGAGGCAGCAGGAGAAAGGGGAACCTCCAGATCTGACGCATCGGAGCACCGCGCCACGACCAGATTCCACCAACGACACGGTGCGCGCGCTGCCGAGCACGCTGGCCAGCGTCGCTTGCAGACGTCGCGAGCCGCCAAACGACGCCGCCTTGTCGACAAGGCCGCCGCCCCGAAGGATCCGCGGGCCACGTATGCGATACTCTCGCCCTCGGGCTAACGGGATCGATCCCCTCGCCACCTTCCCCGACGCCCGCGCGGGCTTTCCTGGCGGCCATCTTCGATGGCGGCGAGGGAGGGAAAGGGAACGGCGCGGCGAAAGATCTAATCGCCCCCGAGTCGCCCCTACAAATGGAAGAGAGTTTCACTTCCCGCCTCTGCACCAACTAGGGATGCATACAACCATTTTAGTATGAGTACTAAGATAAATATGATCCCTAGAATTTTTTAAAATGAGTATCAAGATATTTCTTGGTGAGTGGTTTCACCACACACCAAGCTTGATCCTCAATAAATGGGAAAAAACCCTTGTGCACCGCCTGCCAATTCTAGGAATTAAATTCGGGTTATTAGACTGCACAACCGCATGCTCAACCACTGAGCCAAGGCTCTCTTTGCAAAAAAAAATTGGGAGAGAATTTCACTTCCTCAACCTCCGCACCAATCAGGGATGCATACGGCATTTTAAGTATGAGTACTAGGATTTTTAATTTCAGTTACTCACCGAGCCTAGTCTTCAATAATAAATGCATGAGTACCAGGAAAGCATGATCCTTAAGAATAAATAGAAACCTAAATTCGCCTCCGTGAGGATTTAAATCCAGGTGTTGGTTTTCTGTACATCCACTCCTCCGACCAGTCACTACCGGACTCGCGGTCTATGCCTACGGCCAAGGGCCGTCGGCATAGGCCCCCAAGCCGTCGGCATAGGTCTATGCCTACGGCTGCCGTCGGCATAGACCCGTCGGCGTAGATACCGTCAGCGTAGTCTTGTCAGACCGTCGGCATAGTAAAGCCGTCGGCATAGGGGCCTATGCCGACGGCCTGGCGTCAGCCGTCGGCATAGTATAGCCGTCGGCAGTCTTTTTCGTCTGACGGCAACGGACGACGCCGTCAAAAATGGGGACGAATCATGCAAGGCCACGTGGCAGGGCTATGCCTACGGTAAAGCCGTCGGCATAGAATCTATGCCGACGGCTTTGCTGTAGGCATAGCCCTGCCACGTGTCTTCTTCTGGTTACTCCTGACAGCAGAGGTATGCCTACGGCTTTTGTACGCCGACGGCCAGAACCAGGCTGTCGGCATATCTCCGGAGAAGCCGACGGGGGCCGTCGGCATTGTTCTGGCCGTCGGGGTATGGCCCTGTTCCGGTAGTGAGTTGTGCTAGGCTCACTCACGCAACGAGATTGACATCGCAGCTTGGCTACTTGCCGTGCATCGTGCACATCAACATTCCATCGAACACGTCATCTACAAGAGCCCGTGTATCTGCTTCTGGATGATTTTGTACTAATTTGAGCCCACGCAAGTTAATGGACTGGGTGGCTGCACTTTTGCATTTGCCAGGCTTGTGTATGAAGGTGAACCCAAGACGCAAGTCTGTGCACTGCAAGTGTCATGATCTCTTTTTCCATATGCATGCAGGGTGTGGCGTTTTCAGTCTTGCTCTAGCTCTTTTGGGGCTACTTCTTTCCACGACCCCGATTCGACATCGATATCATCACTTTGCTTTGCAGCAATCGCGATCAGCGCGTCTGAGGTGTTAAGTTGTCCTCTTCTTCTTCAACTGCCATGATGTTATCGCGATCAGCGTGTCTGTAGCCTAGTGGCAAGAGAGCGCAGTGGCGTCTCCAGCAACCAGGGTTTGAGCCACGTCAGGGACGAATTTCTGGTTTCTCACAAGGGATGCTTCTCCTATATCAATAAACCATGGGTGCTAGTGCCCATGAGTTTCATCTTTTTTTTTTAACTGCCATGATGTTACGGCGTAGGTCGTCGCCGCAGACCGCATCCGTCACCTCTTTCTAAGCTTGGCGCCTATAAATGGCCGGATGCCCGTGATCTTCCTCTCCACCACCCGCGCATGTGGCATGCACTTGATCCACGATAGCTACTTTGTACACAACGTGACATTGCAATGGACATGAGCACTGCCAACACCGATCCGCCTCCGTCTTCCGGCAAGACAAGCTTCCTCAAGACTTGTATCAATGGAATCAATGCGCTCTCAGGTTAATCCCTAGCTAAATTTCTTCCTCTGTTATCTGAACGATCCTAATTTTAATTTCAGAAACAACTAGCTGGATCGATCTATATATACAGCCCAATGCTATTGCAAGCTAGTAGTTCAAGAAGCACTTGTCACCTGTATGTACACATTTTGATGCATGCATGATGCATGCACTTGATTAATTAATTGTTTGTTTGTGCTTGTGCGTACGTTCACCCATGCATGCAGGGGTCGGGCTGCTGTCGATTCCCTACGCACTGTCTCAGGGCGGATGGCTGAGCCTGATCGTCTTCATGGCCATCGCCGTCATCTGCTTCTACACCGGGCTTCTCCTGCAGAGGTGTATGGACTCCAGCTCGCTCGTCAACACCTACCCGGACATCGGAGCCCACGCCTTCGGCCGGAGAGGCCGCGTCATCGTCGCCACCTTCATGTACCTCGAGCTCTACCTCGTCGCCATCGACTTCCTCATCCTGGAGGGGGATAACCTGCACAAGCTCTTCCCGGCGGCGAGCTTCCGGCTCGGCGCGCTCCGTGTCAGCGGAAAGCAGGCGTTCGTGCTGGCGGCCACGCTGGCCGTGCTGCCGACCACGTGGTTCAGCAGCCTCAACGTGCTCGCCTACGTCGCTGCCGGTGGTGCGCTGGCGTCCGTTCTTCTCATCGCCGCCGTCCTGTGGGTCGGGGTGTTCGACGGCGTTGGGTTCCGCGAGAGGGGCAGGCTGGTGCGTTGGGACAGCATGCCCAGCGCCATGAGCTTGTATTCCTTCTGCTTCAGTGGCCATGCCGTGTTTCCCATGATATACACGGGGATGAAAGACAGGAAGAGGTTCCCCATGGTACGTAGGTCCAGTTGCAATGTTACGTTGAGTTCTTGCTTGAAATCATCCCATGATTCATTATTTGCTACACTATATGTGTGATTCGTAAAAAGAAAAAGATGATTTGCTACATGAATATATGTGAATTTATCAGTGCCCGGACATTTTACATTTGCTTCACGCCGCGCAGGTGCTGTCGCTGTGCTTCATCGTGAGCACACTCAGCTACGGCTTGATGGGCATCGTCGGGTACCTGATGTACGGCGACACGCTCAAATCCCAGATCACCCTCAACGTCCCGTCGGCGAGCGTGGCCGCCAAGGTGGCCATATACACCACGCTGGTGAACCCGCTGGCCAAGTACGCGCTGGTGGTCGCCCCCGTCGCCGAGGCCGCCGAGGGCGCGCTGGGCGTCGGCAAGAGCGCGCCCTTCCGCGCGCTCGTCAGGACGGTGCTCGTCGTCGGCACGGCTGTAGTCGCGCTGGCCGTGCCCTTTTTCGCCGACGTCGTGGGCCTCACGGGCGCTCTCCTCAGTTGCACGGCGACCATGCTGCTGCCGTGCCTCTGCTACCTCAAGGTCCGGTCAAAGATCGGCGGTGACAGGGGTATGGGGCTGGAGACTGCAGCTTGCCTGGCCATTGTCGCGATTGGCACCGCGATTGTTGGGCTGGGAACCTACAGTTCCGTGAAGCAGATTATACGCAAGTTATGATTAACACAAGCAAAAATGCAGATTGTACCGCGATGAAAACTTACGGACGTGATTTCTACTATAATATTTCTCCTCTGAATTTAGCTTGTGCCTTCTCCTCTTTCAGTTCGATGTTGCAGCCTCATCCTGCAAGTTTAATGTCATAAAATTAGTCCCTAGGTGTAGCAAAACAATCGAAACGTCTTAGAGCATCTCCAACAGCCGCACAAAAATCTCGCGCCCAATAAAAATTATAGCACACCACTTTAGCATTTCTAATGCGTCGGGACCGACATTGCTTTAGCAGACGCCCAAAGACGCGCACCTAAAAAAACAGACAGTGAAAATTATGAAACGCGCGCAATCTGGAGCCCAAAATATGCTGCGCGCGATAGCGTTTTTCAGCACGCCCGAAACTTTTTAGCGTTACAGCATTTGCTGGAGCTGTTCGGCGCCAAAAAGATGAATTTTTAGTGTGCGGAGCTCTTTTTAGACGTCTGGTAGAGATGCTCTTAGTTAACAATTGATGCATGGACTTGTGGGTCCTGCTGTCATGAGTAAATTGGTGCATGGACTTAATTCTATATGAATTTTTATTTTGCTAACCACAGACTTGTGGGTCCATAGCTTAATAAGTAGACTCAGGGCACCCCCTAAAAAAAGTAGAGTCAGGGCATTTGCGAGAATTGTTACTTTTCGGGCAATGCTATTCAGCAAATGTTCACTGGGATGGAATTTGCTAATGTTTTCCGCAGCAATTTATGTTGCTGGAGCGTGACAATTTCTTCTTCAAGCGAGTAAATTGTACAAATCATCATTTTGAAGACTAGATTTATGAAAAACAGTATAATATTCTTTTTGCAGAAAACATTATGTCTACGGTAATCTTTTTGTAGAAAAACACTGATTGGCGGATCGGGCTCGATTAAGTGAGATCATGACAAATCGGCCCTCCAGTCAGGCTGACGTGGCACCGCCAAGTAACGACGACGTTGGCTAACATTATCATCATGTGTGGCCCTGTGGGGTCCGCCAGTCATTGAAAGAAAAAATAAAAAATCCGATGCTCGTCAACTCCGCCGTTTGACAAATTCGTCCAGATCCGCTGCTGCTCGCCGCGTCGACCGCGTGCCGCGCCCGCTGCTTGCCACGGCCGCCGCGCCTCGCTGCTGCTGCACCCACTGCTCGCCGCGGCCGCCATGCCTCGCTGCTCGCCGCGCCCGCTCGGAGGGAGGCAGGCTCGCCCACTCGGGCTCCACGAGACGCCTGAGGGCGGCCAGGTCATTGCAGATGGCGAGGTGGTCGGGGAAGCAGGTCGCTATGTCAGGGTCGGCAAGTACATCGCGCGCCTTGCGGAGGGGCTCGCCGGAGTCGTCGGTGTCAAAGCCCGACAGTGCAAAGGCCTTGCACAGGCATGGGGAGGTGTGCGGGGAGACGGACGGGAGGGCAGCGAGCAGGCCGGCGAAGAAGGAGTGGGGGACGCACCCGCTTCTCACCGCGCCCGCTGCTTGCTCGCTGTCCGCGGCGCCCACCGCGCCCGTTGCCCGCCGCACCTGCCGCTCACTGCCGCTGCCCGTTCCAACCCCGACCGAGGTCGCCGTCGTCGCCCGTTCTGCCCCTAGATGAGGCAGAGCCCGCCATCGTCGTTGCCACACCGAGGCAGAGGCCTCCCCGCCGCCAGTGCTCCCCCGCGGATGCCATCCTCGAGCACGACCACCGCATCCCGCCGCCACCGTCCTTGACCTTTGTCGCCTGGTTGAGGCTCACAGCGGCAGCCTTTGTCCGCTAGCCTGTGCACTGCACGCAAATTGTTCGATGGAATGCCCTAGCGAGGCTTGTTAGACTGACAAGCGGCCCCCGTGTCCAACAAACGTTTACATGTAACAGTGTGAGAAATTGATGCCACGTCAGCCTGACTGGCGGGCCTCATTTGTCATAAACTCAATTAACTGAGCTCGATTTGCCAATCAGTGTTTTTTACAAAAGTTACTATAGACGTGATGTTTTCTACAAAAAAATGTGTTGTACTGTTTTTTACAAATCTAGCCTTCAAAGTGGTTGTTTAGTGCAATTTACTCTCTTCAAGCAAACACGGCAAATTTCACAGCAAAATCCATTCATTTTAAGTTTGCCATGTGTTTATGAAGAAATTGTCATGTGCGTTTGGAGAACATGCCATAAAAAAGTGTTCGCAAATGTCATCCTCCCCAGGCAACTTGCCTCGCTGGTTATTGCGGTCCTATTTGTTGTAAAGAAATATGTGAATTATCGTTATCTATTATGAAAAATTGTGGCGAATCAATCTGTGGTTGGATGATTAGAGGGACTGTGGTATCCCCAGCCCACTAGGGTTCAAATTCTAGTACTCGCATTTATTTCTGGATTTATTTCAGGATTTCCGGCGAAGTGCATTCAGTGGGAGGAGACGTTCCGTCGACGACGAGGCGCCTACGGTGACTTCGTAAATCTCAAGATGATATGCCGACTCAGTCTTTCGGAGGTGCTCATAGGGGTAGGGTGTGCGTGTGTGCGTTCATAGGGGTGAGTGTATGCGCGTGTATATGAGCGCTTGTGTCTGCACTGATGTTCAAAATTTTTTTTATGGAAAATTGTGTTTTTTTTACATATATACTATTTTGTAGTTGGTTGAATTCTTTTGGGCTTCATTCGAACTTATCTCCGCTCGATTCAGCATCGCGTTTTTTGGGTCAACCATCTTTGTTGTCTGCCGAAGTTAGCATGGTGTTATTCGGTTTGCCCCTTGAGCGACACACTCTTTGTATTTTTTGTGTCCTTATTTTTGAATAATTTCTCTCTCTCATTGCTCTATCCATCTTGAATCTCTCAAAGTCGAGGCAGATGTGAGTGAGAACGACAGAGTGGAGGGAGGGAAGTCGACTTTCATGGTGATTTCAACGTCTAAGTCATTAATTGTTGTGGATTTCAGCTAAAGTGTCTCTATTGAGGTCAAATTTAGCTTACGATTATTACCTTCATGTTCGTTTTTAGATCTCATTCGTGTTTATCTCTCCATTATTTCCCCATTCAATCCTTTTTGTGAGTATTTTTTATGGCTTTCCATGCATCTCGTAGGTTGGTAGATTGTTGGTATCTTGTTCATCATAGGGATTTGGGGTTCTTCAGTTGCCTTGCAAATTTTTTAGGTTGATTTATAGATTTTTCCATTCATCTTATCATGCTTCTCTCCCTAGATGTATGCATGGTATTATCATATTGTTTGTGTATGATTCGAGGTTCTTTCGTTTCTTACATTTCGCTTGATTTTCTCCTTTTTTAATAAGCTGGTCATGTATCTCTTGTTAGCATTGAGCCAGACGGTCTTGTTAGGGGTAATTTGCGTCGTGTTCATGGGTTTGTTATGGAGCAAGTGTGAGTGGTTGTAGTACGTAATGCTTTGTTGCACATGCTTTAAGGCACTATCTATCATATTAATAGCTATCTTCATTTCTGCTTTTACCTTCATAGGTTCTATAGTTAGGCTGTTGTATGTAGTTCTCTTCATGTATGTAAGTTCTTAGTTTGTACATTGTATTGTTATTTCTTTTGTTTGACATGACTTTTTGGTTCATGGTACTCATATTTCAGTAGGCTAATGTGCTGGATGAATATGTGTGTATTCACTTGTGTAGTGTTTATATTTATATGAAATTTTCTATCGGCCCTAGATGAATTATTCTTGAAAATTGTAGCTACTTCTTTGCAGATCCATACTTTAAAGCCTTTAGCCTGTAAATGTACACACGATAATGTATTTAGTTTTATTTGTTTGTCTAATTTGTATCGATAGTCGGACACTTTTCTGTGTTTCTTTATAATGTGGATCTTTGTTCTCTTTTTTTGTTCTTTATGACTTGTAATCCATTGATGAGTTTATTTATAGTCGAGCTTTGATTATTATAATTTCACTTTATGTTTATAAATTTATTTTAAAATAAGACTGGTGTAATCGGTAGACGTGGAAATATGTCCTAGAGGCAATAATAGGCAATAATAGATTAGTTATTTTCATATTTTCTTATTATTGATAAATTCTTATTCTCCATGATATAATTGGTCAAAAAAATTTGTATTGACCGGAAACTTAAATACATGCGTGAATAAATAAATAGACATTATGTCCCTAGTAAGCCTCTACTAGACAAGCTCGTTGATTGAAGATGGTTAAGGTTTCCTAACCATAGACATAAGTTGTCATTTGATAAACAGGATCACATCATTAGGAGAATGATATGATGGGCAAACCCAACCATTAACTTAGCATCTGATTGCGTCACTTAGTTTAATTGCTACATCTTTCTTCATGTCAAGTATCTGTTACTTAGACCATGAGATCGTGCCACTCCCTAATACCGGAAGAATACTTTATGAGTAATCAAACATCACTTTGTGACTGGGTGATCATAAAGATGCTCTATAGGTATCTCGAAAAGTTTTTGTTCAGTTTTATGCACCGAGACTGGGACCACTACGTGAAGGCATCCCCTCGAGATGGAGTGCCAACTTCAACTTCTCCAGAAGCCCGACAGCAGCCAAATAGCACGTCAGTGGATCCGATCTAGACTTCCCATCTTGATCGTCCCCCTCCATACTCGACGAGTTAACATCCAACTTGTTGAACCCATCATTGTACATCTCCATTGCTATCCGTTTCACGGTACATTCCCATATAACCTAGAGTAGGGTCGTTACTAACATTGCGGTGGCCCGAACCTGGATAAAATATGTCCATTGTGTCCGTCGGATAACCAAAGGTTACATCACGGTGTCATACAAATCTGCGTGTGACTATCGTTCTGTTGTTAGGAATGTCGTGAAACACCTCAACATGCCAGCAAACCAAACCTTAAACCCAAGACATGACACAAAACAAAGTAAAACCAGAGGAGTTAATAGCAATGCTATTGTGATTCTAGCATGGATAGAAATCGAGGAGGGAGTTATTGCCCGTCAGGGTAGTCATCACCTTCATTGCCCCTGCTTGCAGCCGTGACAATTCACGAGCTGCATGTGTGTGGTCATTCGCCGGCACCTAGTGGGCGATCCTAATGAACGCCCAGCAGAATGAACCATGGTGAGGAACGACGAGCTTGTCGGGGAGGGAGGAGGCATATGTAGGGTTTGGGGCAAGAGAAGCACGGATCGAAACATTTCTATCTGGATAAATCAAGTCATTAAAGAAAGGCGTTTTGGACTGTATGTGCACCCGATTAGCAACTTGATTGCGTTGAATCAACAATTTTCAAGATGTGTTTCGGTGTGCCAAGTTGACACATAGACCGGTGGTGTCATTTGTTCACAGATTTTTACTGTGTGTATTTTGTGGTGTGCCTTTATTAAATACCTTTTTATAGTACTCACTCCGTATTAAAATATATAAGTTTTTTTAAGATTTCAATATCAAGTACATACATAGTAAAATGTATGAATGTACACTCTAAACTACCTATATATAGTTTATATTATAAAATCTCTAAAAGCACTTATATATTTAGGAACGAAAGGAGCAGTTACGAGTCGTGTCGCAGGCAGGCAGGTCGCTTTTGACTTGGATGGGCTTTGTGGCCAAACTGCATGCGGTGGGTGCTAGCTAGCTGTTCCTGTGCCGAGATCCCCCCCGGCCACTTGCGGATACATGCGGCGTGACGCTGCACTGCGCTTGCATTGCCTGCTTGCTGGTCCATCCATATGGTTGTACACGGGCGATTCGATTCGACAGCTCGGAGAAGCAGCTCGCGCGGCGCCGGCCGGCTGCTTTTTGTGCCATGGCCATTTGGGATGGGAACCTTAGCGGCCAAGGATTCCCACATGCAAGCACGCAGGCAGCATCGAGAGCAGCTCCGCCCGCCCAATCACCCTACCTCTATAGTACTCCCTCTGTAAACTAATATAAAAGCGTTTCCTACCTCTATAGTACTCCCTCTGTAAACTAATATAAAAGCATTTAGATCATTGTTTTAATGATCTAACCACTTTTATATTAGTTTACGGAGAGAGTACTACGTAAGAAGAAGAGCTGCTTAATCTATAGTTGTACTCGTGGCTCCCAGAATACTCACTTTTGAGCTCCCCCTCCGACGTTGAGTGTGGCACCGTCCCAGCTGAGATTTACCAAACACTTTTATTTGGCCCGCTACGGTATGGTATGGTAAATCTCATGTGTTCTTTTTTCTTTTTCTTTTTTGCGAGGAAATCTAATCTCATGTGTTGTTGATGGCATCACAATTTACAACAGCCCCATCTCTCACTAGCTATAGCTAGCAAGCGGAAACAAGCTGCCTACAATAATGTGAGTGCCTCACAATGACCGCAATACCGCCAAAGTTAAAAGGCCACAAACTTGGTGGTACTAGTATAGGAGTATTCATGAATGAACACCTCACCATGAACTTTCTTACTACACACACATGGAAATAACTATTAAAAATAGGATAACCTCAAGCTTTTTCTTTGAAAGGAAAGAACCCGCCCGCCCAGTTAGCCAAAACATTGGACAACTGTTACCCACGAGGAGCCCTTTGCATGCATGCATGCATACCCATCATCTTTTTGACTACTTTTCCTTTTGCCCGCGGGCTGCTGCGGCATTTGTTAATTGCTACACACACACACACCCATCGCTTCCCCTTGGTGCCCTTTCCTTAGCTCACCTGCTTTCGTGCGATGCTGAAACTTGTCTAGGAGACATCCACTCGCAATTGCTCACCCCCACCGTCTGCTACTGCTACTGCTAGTGCTATATATACCCATGGCATCCCACGGGCAAAACTCCATGTCCAAGCATCAACTACACACACCTTGCGCTACTGTACAGCCACCACAGTCCACGCAGCAAGCATCCCCTCCGGCACCACATACACACCTTTATTTTGCAGGCTAGTTAGAGTAGTGAACTGTAATCAAGATGAAGGCCAAGGCTTCCACATTCTTCAAGCAGATGCTGTCCACCATCGTCGCCGTCGTCAAGGCCAAGTCGACGGCGGTGCGCGCCAAGACGAGCACCTTGAAGACGCGCCTCCTCGTCCTCGGCATCCTCCGCAACAGGAAGCTCCTCGTCAGCGCCATCAACCACAAGATCCACGCCATCATGGGCCAGGACGACCACGCGCGCAAGGAGGAGGCCGCCCAACAAGACGACGGCGCCAACAAGGCCATCGTGCTCTACACGTCGCCCAGCTACGTGACGGAGCGCGACGTGGAGGAGGCCGCCGCCGATGAGCAGGAGGAGGAGGAGGAGAGCGACGACGAGTACTTGACGCACTCGCTGTTCCGTGAGGAAGACGACGACGACGACGAGCTGGTGAACGCGCCGGGGTCGGTGATTGACGTGCTGCGCGACGCCATGGAGAAGGAGGGGGAGGGGGCTGAGTTCCGGCTGGAGGACGAGATCGACCATGTCGCCGACGTCTTCATCCGCCGGATCCACAAGCAGCTCAAGCTGCAGAAGCTCGAGTCCTTCAAGAGGTTCTGCGAGATGATGGAGAGGAGCGCTTGATCCACCTCCATGGAATCAGATCCACCTCCAGTCCAGTGATTTATTTATTCATAAGTATGCAATGGCGCCAGCTCCATCACTCCTTAAGCCAGGATTATGTTTAGCTTAATCGGAGGCCCATGCATGTAAAGAAGGAAAAGATGAAGCCGGGCAAGAAGATGCTTATCTTCTGCTAGGGTTTTAGTGGGGATGCCAAGGTCTACTAGTCCTACGTGGTACTTTAATCATTATGTACTCATGTTCTTTTGTTCTTTAATCTGGGGGAAGATTGTAAAAGTGCTCAAGTTTTGAGGAAAAAAACAATAAATGAAGCAAATAAATAGACGGCATATATCAGCAAGCCGAAATGTAACACGTACTGATCACAAATTCTTGAAGAACAAACACGGGTATTGCAGGCAACTGAACAAATTAGCTTCAACTAAGATTTTCTTCTAATCCCCGAGAGTAGAACGCAACACGTACTAACATACAGTTCAAGCAGCCATAAGAAGAAAAGCAGAATCAAGCTCACATGACAAGGAAAAAGGGCTCGCTAGTTTTATGGATGGATGTCTCTGCTTTTGGCCAAGAAGAGAAGAGCTAACGCATACCAGTAATCCGTAGGATCGGATCAGCTAGCGTCGTCGACGTTTTGCATTGCGGTGCGCCGGCATCCCCTCGGCCTCCTCCAACTTGATGTCCTTGGCGAGGGAGACGGCCGCCACGTCCTCCATTGCCTCCTGCTCGGTGAGACGCAGGGAGAATCTCACGGGCGGCGCCGGGGCATTCCGCTGCCTTGCCCGCCGCCGCGGCCTCTGTTCCCTATTGGACTCCTGCCCGAGATACCTGGCGATCTCGGATCGTAATACCTCGGTGTCCATCGCCAACGCTGCCGCAACTCCTATGTTGTAGATATCGCCCTCGCCGTTTGTGTCGCCGGAGGTTGAGGTGGATGACGATGAGGACGTGGAGGAGCCGATCGGATTGTCCTGCGGTGCCGACGAAGAGATGTGTTCCCCAAAAGGAACCATAGGAGAGTGTAGATCCGTTTCTTGATCAACCGCGGACACTTTGCCGCTTGCCCCTGCTTTGATGCCCAGACTGACCGTGTTGTCTTGGCCGGCGATGACCGATCTGGACGGCGAACGGATGGCCACGGGTAAAACCCTGATATCTTTTCCCGCAGAAGCAGCCTCAGCCACGCCCACACGAGCATCCTCTCTCTCAGCCGCATCACCGACGGTCGCCGGTGACGGCAAGGCAACTCGTCCCATAGCCACTTCTCCCCTTTCAAGCGATGAGTGCGCGCAAGTGTGTACAGATCTAACATTCCTTTCCCCGGCACCGCCGATGAAAGCCATGCGGTCCGATCCGATATGTGCCATGTTTCGGCCGTCGACGACGTTTACCGATCGCGCCGCCGCAGTGACGCCTCCGGAAACAAGTTGCCCTGTTTTAGCCGGCGCGGTGAGCATCACCTGGCTGCTCATGCCGGCCTTCCTTTCCCCTCCGCCGGGGCCCGTCGCGCGATCTGACTGCCGGAGGGCGCTGCTGACTTGTTCCACACGCAGGGGATCGGCTGGTTCCAGGATGTGCTTCAACATGACGTTATTATGGCCCAACGTCAGCGGCGGCGGCGGCACACGAGCTTGACGGCCGGCCGACGATGAGGACAAGGGCCAAGGCGAGGACACGGTTGACAGATCCTTCAAGTCAAGCTAAATGGTGTTCCAGTTTCATTGTGTCAGAAACGAGTCCTGCTCGCGTACGTCGACAACTTGGCTGAGACCCACTCGGAAACAAACCACGCAATTTCACCGTGGGTGGTCCTCCCCCCTAATCCAACGAAAGACGTCAAGATCACACCGTGATCCTCAATTAACTCTCCGTTGATGTGATTTCCAAAAAAAAAAAACTCTCCGTTGATGCAGATTTTTTTTCTTTTTGTATGTCTGGGACTTGGTCGACTGAGACTTCGCGACTGACGTAACCTATTGCTAATTTGGCCCGTTTTGCTTCCCTGGTCAGTGGGTTCAAGCTCCCCCATTATGGGCTTGGGTTCTGGGCTTTTCTTTGTGAGCTTGTTTTTTTTTTTGGTTTGGGCTGTTTGTTTGTTTGAACTGAAAAAAGACCACACCCAGACAATGAAAAACCCTATCTTCTGTAGCTAAACGACGCTGGATTACCTTTCGCCCCCCTGCTTCTTCTTCGTTTCTTCTTCTTTTTGTCAAAAGTAGCTTCATTAAAATTGTTGCATGCACAAGCCAACTTGGTCTCTGTGCCTGTACTTTGGTTAGAATTGGATTCAGCAGGTGAAACCCCACCGACATGTCTAGCTCACACTATTGCTGGTGCATGTTGTCAACATACGCGAGAAACACTTTGTATAATCAAGGAGAATGTGCTTCATAAGCTCCTCTTACAAAATCAGATCTGAACATACACACACAAAAAAAATGATCTGTGTATTTGGCTATGAAAACAATCAGCTCTGCTCTTTAGTTAGAGCAGAAACAGAGGTGCTCATACCCGCAAAAAAAAAAAAACAGAGGTGCTCGGGAACCTGACGGCAGCTACCCCTACAAATTACCGACCACAAGCTACTTTGAATATATTTTTTTGGCCACTTTATCTCCAATTAGACACGTCGAAAATTTCCAAAGAGAAAAGGGAATTCCTCATTTCAGAGCAACCGAAAATTGGGCTCCGCTTGAGCAAAAACACAACACACGTAGAAAAAAAATCGCTGCCCCAGGTCGCTCATCTTACATTTGGGCTAGTCTCTTCACTTGGACCTCTCTATATGTGGTAATTTCAGCACAAATAAGTGAACCCTAGAGAGAAAACTAAGGCGGGGCGCTGGATTTTTTGGCGCGCAGCAAAAGTGGCAGGATTGATTTACTTGGTGGGCAGGTAGCTTACACATGTTGAAATACATGCAGTTGCAGTCGGGGACGACATTTGAAATTGCATGCCTAGTGTACACATGTAACTAGAAAAAAAATCAGAAGAAAAAAACTCTATATTACACATGGCCATGGCTCCTTAATTCATGGCTAACTTGATTTGCATGAGAAAAGTTGAACTCTTAATTTAATTTAAATAACCAAAATGAAAAAGGAAAACAAAAATGAAAACAACATTTTACATTTTTCTAAAAAAATAAATTTAGGTCTCCATGAGAAAAAAACTCTCAAAATATTATTTTGTTGCCCTCGACAAACATAGTCTAGTTGCAACCATGTTGCAAGACATGTCGTTGCAGTCGCGGGACGACACTTGCAGTTGCATGCCTAGTGTATAAACATGCAACTACCCCTGCCTCTCCCGCCGCCCCTCCGACAAAACAAAGTCCAGTGGTAGTCAGGGGCGACAATTACCCGCCCTCTCTCCCGCCGTCCTCCGACAAAACAAACTCCAGTTGCATCCGTGTTGGATGACATGTAGTTGCAGCCTAGTTCAAATCCTTGCAATTGCATATCAATTGCCCACCCTCTCTCCCGCTACCCCCTCTTACAAAACAAACTCCAGTTACATCCATGTTTGACTCGCAACTGGCTCCGTAGTTGTCTTGGTTTCCCAGTTTGATACTCAATCCCTGACTCACGCGCAACTGGAGCCCTTAGTTATTTGTGGTCATAGTTACAAGTACACCATCAACTCGCAATTGGGACCGTAGTTGTTCTCCTCCCAGTTGTGAGTCCACTCTCGACTCGCAACCAGGGCCTCATAGTTTTCTTATTTGAGTCCCAGTTGCAAGTCCGCACTCGACTCATAACTGGGCCCGTCAATGTTTGTCGTCTCAGTTGCAAGACCATGCTCGACTCGCAGCTGCACTTGCAGTTGTAGTTGCCCTAGTTGCAAGCCCACTCTCGATACGCAACTAGGTCCGATCAATTTTATCCTATTCGCAAGTCCACCATCAACACGCAACTAGGGGCCTAGCCATTTTGTCTTAGTTGCAACTCCATCCTTGCCATGCAATTGGGGGGCCCTGCCTTTTTTCTTGTCTCAGTTGCCAGTCCATCCTCGACACGCAACTGGGCCAACCCATTTTTGTCCTAGTTGAAAGTCCAACTACACTCTGACATACAATTGGGGTTCTCACATTTTTTGTCTCAGTTGCAAGTCAACCCACATGCGCAGTCGGGGGACTGATGAATTTCATCTCCAACTGCAACTCCACCCCCGACATGCAATTCCGAGGCCTACTTTTTTGTCCCAATTGCATGTCTGGTGTCGATTGAGATGCGTCGGTGTTTCCCCAAGGAATAAGGGTGGATGCAACACAACAACGGTAAGGTATTTCCATCAGTGATGAGACCAAGGTTATCAAACCAGTAGGAGAACCACACAACACTACATAAACAGTACCTGCACGGAAATAACAAATACTTGCAACCCGACGCGTTAAAGGGGTTGTCAATCCCTTCTGGGTAGCGGTGCCAAAAAGTGACATAAGGATAGGATAAAATTGTAGTAGATTGATAGATGCAAATAAAAGTAAATAAAACGCAACAAGGTATTTTTGGGTTTTTGATAATATAGATCTGAAAATAAAAGAAGCAAATAAAAGAAAAGGCAATTGGCAATATGGATCTGAAAGTATATGATAGGAAAATAGACCCGGGGTTCGTAGGTTTCACTAGTGGCTTCTCTCGAGAAAATAGCAACGGTGAGTAGACAAATTACTATTGAGCAATTGATAGAAAAGCAAATCATTATGACGATATTCAAGACAATGATCATGTATATAGGCATCACGTCAAAGATTAGTAGACCGACTCTTGCCTCCATCTACTACTATTACTCCATACATTGACCGCTATCCAGCATGCATCTAGTGTATTAAATTCATGAAAAATGGAGTAATGCAATAAGAATGATGACATGATGTAGACAAGATCTATTCATGTAGGAATATACCCCATCTTTTTATCCTTAATAGCAATGATACATGCGTGCCTTGCTGCCCCTTCTGTCACTGGGAAAATACACCGCAAGATCGAACCCATTAC